ATGGGCACGCACCACATGTACGCACACACCACACGTGAGCACACACACACACGTGCACACACACAGACACACATGCACACCACACACACGTACACACTCACACACACACACACAACACACACACACACACACACACACACACACACTCACACACACACACACACAAACCACACACACACACACATACACACACACACACCACACACACAGTAAATAAAAATGTAACAAAACTTTAATTATATGTAGCTAGAGTTTTCCTGCCTTGCCCACAGTCAGGACAAATCTTTGTCACCCACCAGTCCCACAGCTGCTCAGACCCAACCAAGTAAACACAGAGACTTATATTGCTTATAAACTGTATGGCCATGGCAGGCTTCTTGCTAACTGTTCTTATAGCTTAAATTAATCCATTCCCATAAATCTATACCTTGCCACGTGGCTCGTGGCTTACCGGTGCTTTACATCTTCCTTGTCCTGGCGGCTGCTGCAGGCAGTGACTCCTGCCTTTCTGTTCTTTCTTTTCTCCTCTCTGTTAGTCCCGCCTATACTTCCTGCCTAGCCACTGGCCAGTCAGTGTTTTATTTATTGACCAATCAGAGCAACTTGACATACAGACCATCCCCCAGCACAGCCAAGTGCAGACCATCTCAGACACCTGCACTCAGGCCCGTGGTCCTAATCATCCTCTATGTGGACCTGCTGGGTAAAGCCACGAGGAACCCGAGAATGGGCTCCCACAGGACATACAGAACATCCCACAGCAATTATACCAATAGGGCAGAAAACAGGAGCTCACCGGGTATTTTATAATTAATTAACTAGCTAATTAATTTAGTTTTGAGGCAGAATCACTCTGTGTATCCCAAGTTGGCTTTGAATTTGTGATCCGAGATCTGACTGCCTCAGCCTCTGGAGTAGTTGGATGACAGCCATGTTACAATCATGTGCCACCATGCCTGGGCCACACATGACTTTTAATTCTCAACATTATTTGTTTAGAGCAGAGACTCACAGGATTTTCTTCAAGGAAAGACGAGAAGCTGCTCAGGCCTTGGGGGCCATGGTTGTGTTTGCCACCTCTGTGCCTGAAGAAGGTTCCATGTAATGGTTTCCTTCAGATCCCGCGTGGTAGATGAGCACTGCTGTTTCAATGCACTGTCCTTGTGGACACTGAGACTTGCATTCTATTTCCTTTTGCACTGTGTTGGGTATAGTCTCACAACTCACTTTTTTTATTTTTTCAGATGGGGTCCCATATGTAGCTCAGGCTGGTCTCAAACTCACGACAATCTTCCTATCTAATGAGTGCTAGGAGGACAGGTGTGAGTCAGGACACCCAGCACGCCTTTAATCCCAGCACTCGGGAGGCAGAGGCAGGTGGATCTCTGTGAGTTCGAGGCCAGCCTGGGCTACAGAGTGAGTTCCAGGGAAGGCGCAAAGCTACACAGAGAAATCCTGTCTCGAAAAACCAAAAAAAAAAAAAAAAGACAAGAAAATCAACCATTTGGGGAGCTTGGGAGATGGCTCAGTCCATAAGTAGCCTACCCTGCAAGCTTTGATTTGAATTTGATCTCCGGAACACGCGTTAAGAATTTCAACAGTATAAAAGCTATCAGGGCTACACAAATCCATGCAAGAGGCGGGATCTAGCTCATGCCCTGGTTTTGTTCCATACAGTAAGTTTGCAGACTCCCCGGCTTTGAACTTAATACTGCGGTGCTTCTGGTGGTAAAACCCTGAGTAACCAACCATCAAATCATTGCAAAGCTCGGTTACTAGCTGCTGGGGGGCCTGGAGCCAGTGAAGGGGAGAACGCAGGGTCTCGGGACAGAACCAGTAACGGATGCTCTTAGAAGGCTGCCCCTAGTGGACAGGAGGCTCACAGCAGGGGAGCCCTGACGAAAGTAGTTTTCTTTTGTATTGCAGTGGGGTTTTGTTATGCTGTAGGTCACATGTTTAAACATCTGGCCCCCTGGTAGTGCTGAAATCTGGGGAGGTGGGACCTGGGCAGGAGGGAGTACATTATGGGGGGGCAGGTTCCTGAGGTCCATGTGTCAACTTCCTTGTCCACTGGTGTCTGCACAAGAGACCCCACATTCCTGCTGCCATGGACACCGCTGCTTCAGCCTCTGTGACGTTCAGACTGTTCCTTCTGAAACTGCGAGTCCGCAGAACTCTTCCCTGAACGTGTCTCTGTCAGGCATTTTGCCGCAGTGGCACAAGAAGTATCGAATACAGGCTGTGCGCATTGAAATGGTCCCATCTATCACACATGCCGTACCAGTTATCTTTTGTCGACTTGACACAAGCCGGAGTCATCTGAGGCATCGGGGTCATCTGAGGCGTCAACTGAGAAAATGCCTCATCAAAGTGGCCAGTAGGCAAGTCTGTGGGGGAATTTTCTTGAGTAATGATTGGTGTCAGAGGTGCCCACACCCTGGGCAGGTGCTCCTGGGTGGGATTTTAAAAAAGCAGGCTGAGCGAGCTGTGAGGAAGAAGCCAGTCAGCAGCGTCCCCCTGTGGTCCTGCTCCAGTTCCGGCCCTGGCTTCCCTCGATGGCAGACTGCTGTGTTGGGTGGGTACAAGCCAAATAGACCCTCTCCTCCCCAAGCTGCTTTTGGTCAGGGTGTGTATCACAGCCACAGAAAGCACACCGGGGTGTGTGCCGACTACAAGTGAGCTCTTCCTCGGACCTCAACCCCACACTAACTCCTGGGAGCATGCAGACGAGTACTAACAGGTTCAGTACTGGGGCCCGCGGCATATGGCTAGAGAGGGCTTGGTCAGGAAACTGAACTTCTTCGGGGTTCCGGGGAATCTGGGGCGTCTGTCCATGTTGCGGGGCATGGAGAAAACCTGAGGGGCCTGGAGAGACACATTCTAAATGTCACCAAAGAGACATTTCCTCTAGCTTATAGCAGACCATGATGTGGCCACTAGTACCCCAGTTTCTTTTTTCACTTGTGTGTGCAGTGTGGCATGCGTGTGTGTGTGTGTGTGTGTGTGTGTGTGTGTGTGTGTGTGTGTGTGTATGGCACACATGTGTGTGCATGCATGTGGAGGCTTAAGGTTGCCAGGAATTTATCCTCTATCACTCTTCCACCTTAACCATTGAGGCAGGGTCTCTCAATCAAACCCAGAGCTCATGGATTAAGGCTAGTCTTTCTAGCCAGCTTGTTCTGGAGGGCCCTCATCTCAGCCTGCCAAGGTTGGAATTACAGGTGGGCCCCACATCACCACCAGTTATGTGGACCCTGGGGTCCAGACTCTGGCCCTCACACTCGCATGGCGAACACGTCAACCACGAAGCCTCCATCAGCCCTGGAGCCCAGCCTCCCCACACTGGTTTTGTTGGACTCGAAGAGACTCCCTGTCTTTCCATCTCCCTGAACCCCAAGGGGTGTGCTTTGCTATCGTCCTTGCTCTCAGGGTAGCATCTTCCTTAGTCTGTTTCTGTGTCCAATCAGTCTCTTCTCGGGCTCTGTGAAGATAAATGCTGTCAATCTGATGTCTCTCTTCCTGTGGCCAAAGAGAAAACTGCAGCAGAAGGAGTTCCCTTTACCAGTTAGAGAAAGCTGTGCCTACACTGACATTGGCCACGAAGAATTCCGTAATGACTTTCCCTGAGTATCTGCCTCCCCCAGCATACATACACACATATATACATATGTACATATATACATTCTCACTTTTACACACACACACACACACATACACACACACACACACACACACACACACACGCCCCCACCCCCCCCCACACACACACACACACACACGGGGGGGGGGGAGGGGGGAGAGAGATGGCACATGTACATACTCTTCCCTGTCCCCTTTGGGGCGCCTGCACACCAGGCTGCCAAGGCATGGGTCAACTTCAACCTCTGCAAATGGAATAAGATATTGGATTGCATTCTCTGACCTCCAAAAGAGGATACCCCTTTCTTTTCCTGGCCTCATGGGTCCTGCTGAAACTATGTTTGGGGCAAGAATCCCAGCAGGGAATGACCAAAGCTCACTTGGATGAGGGTTTGCTGCTGGACCAGACTGGGGCAGGCACGGAGGAAACTACCAGATGGAGGTTCACCCAGGGAGCTCAGAGTACGCCAGGGCTGCTGCCCTCAGCAACTGCATGTGTCTCTGAGCAGAGGAGTCCCTGCCATTCCCGAGCAGTGGGGTCGCAGGCAGTTCTGCTGGGAGGTTTGCACAAGGCACCGCCTCAGTGACTTTGCGTTAATGCTGACTCTGAGGGTGGGCGTGTGCGGCCTGCTGAGAATTTCTACTCTTCTGGAGTGCCCTGAGTTCTTAGAGGGGATGCTGGGGCCTTGGGGTGTCATAGTGTTTGCTACTGTTCTGGGGACAAGAAGTCTCCACCTAGGAACCGAGTGGGCTTTGGGGAGCCCTGTGAACAGCCTCACCGCTCTGACACAGTAGGGGAATAATGCCTGGCCCAGGTGCCCCCAGGTCCACTTTCCCTGCCGGACACGCTGCCAGCAGCCATGGGAAGGGTGGCTGCATTTGGTTCCTACCTGTCCTCCTCTGTGTAGAAATGTCCCTTCTCACTTCCTCACAAGGCTTCCTCCAAAGAGCAATCCCTCCGAAACCCCCCTTGCAGGAGTCTCTGCCTTAGGGCCTTCAAACATAGCTCTCTTGATAGAGTGTTGGTCTAACGTGAATGAAGTCTTAGGTCCATCTGCAGCAGGATGTCAAGTGGGTGCAGCGGAATCCTATCAGGAGTTGGAGGCAGAAGGGCCAGATGTTCAAGGTCACATCACAAAGTGAGTTGGAGGCCAGTCTGCAATACGCAAGACCTTGTCTTAAGATACAAAATCAACAACAACAAAACAGAATTTCCACTTCAGAAACTGACTTAAAGCGTCCAAAGGGATGTGGTCTGGGGCCTGGGGTGCATGCTATCGCTGTTGGCCCACACTGCTGGTGCAGTTCTCCTAAGGCACATCAGAGGAGAATTCCTTTAGAAAGAGTTATCAGGAAGCCAGCGTATCTACCAGAGTCCACTTTCAACCAGTCTCCTTTTCCCCACAAGTCTGCCTGCTCCAGATCACCTGAGGAACCAAAGCCTGGGGCTGAGACTTAGCTGCGGGGCTGGGGGCAGAGTGTCTTACTCCATTTTCTGTTGGCTATGACAACATACCTTGAGTTGGAAGGTTTATAAGGTATAGAACTTTGACTTGGAGAGATGGCTCAGCCAGTAAAGGCTAGACTCCCAACCAAGAAAATCGAAATAGACATTTATCTGGGCTTGTAGCTTTGCTCCTGAGGAATGCTGCGTGCTGCTCTGTGCATGGTGGAGAAGAAGGAGGAGGCACTTTCAGAAGAGGTCACATGGCAGCAGGCAGCTGGAGGAAGCTGGGGAAGCCAGACTCCTATGGGAGCCCCACTCCCACCAGCTCTCAGGATAACCAGCCCGCTTCCAAGGGAACTGCATCAATCTGTTGTGGGATAATCTCTTTGCACACTGTGAAGATGTGTCTCTGCCAAGGCACCTTCTGATTGGTGTAATAAAGAACTGAATGGCCAATAGCTAGGCAGGAGAGGACAGGCGGGACTCCTGGGGAGAGAGAGGGAAACTCTGGGGAAGAATCTGAGGGGTGGGGAATTCACCAGTGAGACATGGAGCAAGCTGAACGTACAGTCTGGAGGAGAGGTAACGAGCTATGTGGTAGAACGTAATGAATATAAATGCGTTAATTTAAGTTATAAGAGACAGCTGGGAACAAGCCTAGGCTAAAGCCAAGCTTTCATACTTAATAAGTCTCCATGTGATTATTTGGGAGCTGGTGGTCCAAAGAAAGTATGGCTAACATCAATCCCTTAACAAAACAAAACAAAACAAAACAAAACAAAACAAAACAAAACAAAACAAAACAAAACAAAACCCCCTGTGTGGTCTAATTGCTTCTTAAGGGTCGCCGTCATCTCTTATAATGGTACACTAGGAACCAGGTCTCCAACACATGAGATTCAAGGAACCAACCTGTTAAACCACAGCAGTGGCCTTTATCTGCTTTCCCCATGGTTGGATGCCACTTCTGGCATTGCTGTATTATCTACTGGGACTTCCCCAACGTATGGATGCCCTGAAGTTTCCGTCCCATTCCCTGCTCCTGGTGCCAGGTCCCCCGAAAACTGACATCAGCCAGACCGGACAGATCGGATTCTGTCCCAGCCCTGGCCACTGTTCCTCTGACCACTGGGTCGCTCTGGTCTTCTAGCTATTGCTCTGACTTGCTTGTGGGTTGGTGGTGAGTGATCCAGCTGTGCGTGCCTCAGTTTCCTCCTTTGTAATGGTATCTGCCTCCTGATGATGTTGAAAACGAAGATGTTTTTGCACACCAGAGAAGCGGAGGTACACTGGGCCTTTATCAGCAGGAAGCAACTCCTGAGAGAGCAACAATCAACAAGGTTCAAGCCATTTATGCT